CTGGTGTCTTCCTCCTTTTTGTTTATTGACCATTTTACCAAGCATATGAGTCCTTCCTAATAATATGTTGGAAGTAGGAGACATCAAGTCTTGGCATCCTAGTTTCAAAGAGCATTCCAGCTGTTTCTTCCAACACAGAATTGTTTGTTCTTCTAGCAGACCATGATAGTCTTTTAATATTCTTCTCCATCACCATGACTTAAATGCATCAGTTCTTCTCCTGTTTCTTCCTTATACACTGTCCAACATTCACATGCATATGAAGTTACTGATAATACCACAGCTGGCATCAGGCACACCTAAGTCCTCAAAACACCATCTCTAGTCACAATTCTTGAAAAAGGTCTTGTGCAGCTGATTTGTCTAATGCAATGTGTCATTTGATTTCTTGACTGTTGTTTCCATGTGTCTTGATAGTGGATATAAACAAAATTAATCCTCCAGCCTTGGTAACTCTATAGGGTGGTTCTACTCTGTTCTGTAGTGGTCACTAAGAATCCAAAACAATGTAAAAGCAAAGGGGTTAGTTAATCATTATAGGAAATCAAATTTGATTATGATATGCTGTGGGGATTTTGGGGGGGGGATCTATCCTTCCTGGGGTTCATCCAGCTCCTTGAATGTTTATCTTCTTGTTTTTCAGGATGTTAGGAAAATGTTCTCCCATCAGATCTGTGACTTTCTCCTGTGTGGTTTTCTGTTACCTTAAAATTCTTGGACTCCAATCACCCATAGGTTATTCCTCTTCTTGTTGTTCCACACAAATCTTAGACTCTCTTCAAGTTATTTCATTATTTTTCCTGCTTGCTTTTCTATCTTAGAAGTTTTGAGAGATTTGGTCTCAAGCTAACTGGTTCAGGTTTTCCTCCCTTCGATTCTAATCCTTTCCCCTTTCAGCATATTGTCCGTTGTTGGTATTTTGGTATTAATCATTTGGGCCTCTTTAGCAGGTTTTCAATTGTTTCCAGTGCTATTTCTATCTTATTTGATTGTTCCTGTAGCACTTTTCTGACTTCTTCCTTAGTTTCCTCAGCTTTCTGTGGAACATTTGGATGCACCTTAGTATCATTCTCTTGAATTCCTAATTGGGCACTTCCAAAGCCTGCACTCCTTCAAGTGAAAATTTAAGGTCTGCCCTCAGTTCATTTGTATGAGCAACTCTATCTTCTTTCAAGACTTGAAGAGAATTTTTTTGTTGCTTTCTAGAGATTGTGGTGCTGTTGTATTTTCAATAATTAGATGAATGTATGCTGGCGTATTCTTAAACTCTATGATTGCCAACTGGTGGATGTGATCAGGAAATGGGCTTCTCTTTTCATTTCTCTTACTATTCAATGCACAGTGGTTTTAGCAGGTGTTGATTATTTATACTGTTTTGATACATAGCAGCTGGTATAGCGTTTTCCTCAGATGCTGAGATTTTTTTAAGAAAACTTAAAGAAGTAATAGTACAGATAACAGTACCCAGATGCAAGAGTAAGAAACTCCACACAAGTGGCCTCCAAAAGAAAAATAAAACTGAAATAAAATTTTTAAAAAATAGAAATTACAGAGTTTTTAGTGAATAAATTGTAACTTATCTTCATGAAAATTTCAGAGACTAGTAGGAAGATGATGGTAAATAGTTCTGATGCATCCTGAGCACCTCTCCCATCGTCACTGTACTGAAGCAGCAGCATTATTTTCACTTTGGGATCTTGGCCCCTGGCTCTGGAAAGATCAGAATTGTCTTTAATAATAAAATATGCTGTTTGACTAGGTGAATCAGACAAACTTCATCTCAAAATTTGGACTTTTGAACAGCAATTTGAATATTATGAAAGGTTTTTCTAATATGAAAAAATGTACAAGTCATTTGGTTATAAAAGTTTTTGGTTTCTACAGAGGTAAAGGATTGATGAATTCTTGGCCCACTTGTAACAAGTCAACATAGAAAGTGTATACATTTCCCAAAGCAGAGACAAGACTTGAGGCTCTCCCTATAAATGTGGATCTAAGCCAATAACATAAATTCATGACCACAGCATCTTAACTCTCCAGCTTGTTTTTAAGTGGTAGTAGATTTCCTCATCACATAAAACACAGAATGATCCCAGGACATACATTTAGAGTACTGGGACAATACCATGGTCTCTTCTGCAGGTCACAGCCCTCTTCTTGAGTTAGGGTTCTGCCTTATTATCTTTGTTAAGCATCATTCAGTCAGTTCCAACTCATAGCAACCCTGTATTGGGTTAGGAGGAATAGCTAGTGAGTTTCAATCACCAACCTTGTGGCTCAACCTGGCCTACTGTTGCAGTGCTTTATCCCATGGGACAACAATAGGACACAGGGACTTCCTTAACCCTTGACAAAACCAAATAAGCCTTTGCCACAGGACATCAACCAGCCATGTGATGTGTACTTTCCTTTATGACTGAGTTGTGTCTGAGCCACAAGTCACAAATTCATGGATATCAGCTTCTCATCATTACGTAGAAATAGATACACAAGCTGAACCTTGAGTATGTCTTGGTGGTAGATATACAATCCTGCCTGTATAAATCTGCCCATTAACCTGCCCTCAGTCATAGCTCAGTGCCTTGAGTTCCCCAATATCTTCTTCTTCACCATACTAGACAGAGTGAAATGTCTGTTTTCAGACAAACCACACACAGCTGGACAGCTGGGTCTCCAGAATGCAAGTTTTTGCACAGGGCTGTATCACTGTGTTAGGAAATTGTGTACCTTACCAGCAGTAATAAACTGCAATGTCCTCAGCCTCTACTCCGCTGATTTTAAGCATGAAATCTGTAACTTCCTCACTGCCAATGAACCTGTCTGGGACCCCAGTGTACTGGTTAGAAACTTCATAGATCAAGGCATGTGGAACTTGGCCTGGCTTCTGCTGGCTCCAGTTCAAATAGGTTTTTTCATCACTATGTACAAGGCTGTGACTTGACTTGCAAGTGAGGGTTGCTGGCTGTCTAAGTGTGATGGACAGGCTACGTGGTGTCTGGGTCATTACAATATCCACACTTGTTGCTAAAATAATGAGAGAGAAGTCAAAGTTATGTGCAAACATCATCAGTCATTTTCATGACTTCTTTCTGCTGCTATTATTATTTTATGGATAAAATAAGTTTATAAACTTTTTCCTTTCACTATTTGTGATTCTTCATAGCTCAAATTATCCAGTTTGCCTCCACCAACCCCCAGTTACGTTCTTACTGTTTTAACCAAAAAAAATAAGCCCTGGCTCCTTCTCATTTCTTCCTCACAACTACAAATAAAAGTAGTGTATGTCCTTACCACAACTACAGAATCCATCTGTGATCCAGTGATGCACACAAAGCTGTCCTCCCAACCCCTTTTCTCCCTCATCTTCCCTAGATCCTCACCAGGCATCCAGAGAAGTAAAAGCCCCAGGAAGTGAGCAGGGACCATCATTCTGAGAAGCTGAACTGAGGAGTCCTGATAAGAAAAGGCAGATGAGAGCTGGCTTTTTATCTCAAATTTGCAAAGGCAGGTTAACAATATGCAAATCGTGTGATGGGCACAGTAGTGTGGAAAGGGGAAGGTGTGTGTCCCTTGTGAGCAAAACATCATAAAGTAGGTCTGTGTTTGGAAGAAGAGATTAAGTCTTGACTGCTCTCATGAGTGCTAACTGCTGACTATGGAAGCCTGAAGCCTACACAGGACACATGGCACAAGGCGCTGTCACTCTAAGAATGCGTCAGAGACACTGATGATGTGGAGATGGGTGTCCTGTTTGCTTCCCACCCAGAAACCTAGAAAAACAAAGGGTTCATTTCCCCATCATGTGTTTTTAAATAAGGAATGGGCTTGAGATGAAGTTTGTCTGATATCTACTATTATCAGGCTACCAGAAGTCCTGATGTGACACTGTGAGTAAGTGTGCTGGACACAAGGTGGGTTTGAAGGGGAAAGTGGGCAGTTCAAGATCATCAGCCACTCCTCAGGATCCCATTGCAGAGCTCTGAGCTGGAACAGACTCCATGGTGCTCAACAACACCAACATCTATTTAACAATGCTGCATGCCAATCTTAGAAACGATTTTCCTTAGATCCAGTGAACTACACTTTAGAACAGTATTCTAACCAAGAACTTGACAAGGAGGATAAAATTGTCTCTTACAGATATAGAGCTAATAGTGCAGTTTAAAGCACAAATGGAAAGGGAAAGAATGTTATGCTTCAGAAGGTAAATATGATATTTTTGGTAAATCATAAAATATAATCTTATGAAGTTATAATTTGGTTTTATCAAAAGACAGAAAGAGGTCTCTGAACTGTTTTCAGTTCTGTGGTTACTTGTCATGTGGAACTAGAAATTTACAATGACTCCAGTTTCTTATTTAATGTGAGAACATAGGTGTTTCTCCTGGCCTGTGTGTTGACATTCCTGAGCTATGAATCTGCGGTTCAAAGGGAGACTCCATATGTGGGAAGATAAAATGGGTCCCAGTTTAGAGTCTCAAAATAGTTTGTCCTTACTACTAGCATCTTCATGGACCTTCATTAAAGGTGGTTAATTTGTAAGTGGTATATATGCCCAGTGAAGGAACTCTGGTAGAATAGTGGCTACGAATCAGTCTGTGAACCTTAAGGTCAGCAGTTGAAAACTACCAGCTGTTTGGTGGGAGAAAGATGAGGCTATGGGCTCCCGTAAAGATTTACAACCTCAGAAACCCCGTACACAGTCGCTATGAGTCGGAACTGACTACATAGCACATAACAACAACAGCAATACACCCAGTGAGAAAGATGAGGCTTTCTGCTCCTGTAAACATTCACAACCTCAAATACCCTATACAGGATCCTTTTGAGTCATAAACTGACTCCACAGCACATAACCACCACCTGCACCATCTACCCAGCATCTTGATTAAAATAGAAAACAATTAAGGATTTCAGGTGTGCTTTGGTGCCTGGACCATGTTTCAGTAGTTAAATTTTTGCTTTATACTTTTCATTTATTCCACTTTTGTTTCTTTGTTCTTTCTTATGATGATTTACAATAAAATTCTGTGTCTAATCTTGAAACTTTCTGCCCTTCAAAATATCCACTAGGGAGCCAGTAAATAAATTCAGGGTTTCTAACCAAATGGTCTACAATTGGAATCCAGCACTGCAGACTGGACGAGAAAGATTAGTCTGTGTGAGTCCATAAAGATTGGTGTTGTTGTTGTTGTTGTTGTTGTTGTTGTTAGGTGCTGTCAAGTTGGTTCTGACTCATATGGACCTTACATTCAGTGGAAAGAAACACTTCCCGTTCCTGAGGCATCCTCACAATCTGTAAAGCTTAAGTCCACTGCTGCTGCCCCTGATTCAATCTAACTCATCTGGTGTCTTCCTCCTTTTTGTTTATTGACCATTTTACCAAGCATATGAGTCCTTCCTAATAATATGTTGGAAGTAGGAGACATCAAGTCTTGGCATCCTAGTTTCAAAGAGCATTCCAGCTGTTTCTTCCAACACAGAATTGTTTGTTCTTCTAGCAGACCATGATAGTCTTTTAATATTCTTCTCCATCACCATGACTTAAATGCATCAGTTCTTCTCCTGTTTCTTCCTTATACACTGTCCAACATTCACATGCATATGAAGTTACTGATAATACCACAGCTGGCATCAGGCACACCTAAGTCCTCAAAACACCATCTCTAGTCACAATTCTTGAAAAAGGTCTTGTGCAGCTGATTTGTCTAATGCAATGTGTCATTTGATTTCTTGACTGTTGTTTCCATGTGTCTTGATAGTGGATATAAACAAAATTAATCCTCCAGCCTTGGTAACTCTATAGGGTGGTTCTACTCTGTTCTGTAGTGGTCACTAAGAATCCAAAACAATGTAAAAGCAAAGGGGTTAGTTAATCATTATAGGAAATCAAATTTGATTATGATATGCTGTGGGGATTTTGGGGGGGGGATCTATCCTTCCTGGGGTTCATCCAGCTCCTTGAATGTTTATCTTCTTGTTTTTCAGGATGTTAGGAAAATGTTCTCCCATCAGATCTGTGACTTTCTCCTGTGTGGTTTTCTGTTACCTTAAAATTCTTGGACTCCAATCACCCATAGGTTATTCCTCTTCTTGTTGTTCCACACAAATCTTAGACTCTCTTCAAGTTATTTCATTATTTTTCCTGCTTGCTTTTCTATCTTAGAAGTTTTGAGAGATTTGGTCTCAAGCTAACTGGTTCAGGTTTTCCTCCCTTCGATTCTAATCCTTTCCCCTTTCAGCATATTGTCCGTTGTTGGTATTTTGGTATTAATCATTTGGGCCTCTTTAGCAGGTTTTCAATTGTTTCCAGTGCTATTTCTATCTTATTTGATTGTTCCTGTAGCACTTTTCTGACTTCTTCCTTAGTTTCCTCAGCTTTCTGTGGAACATTTGGATGCACCTTAGTATCATTCTCTTGAATTCCTAATTGGGCACTTCCAAAGCCTGCACTCCTTCAAGTGAAAATTTAAGGTCTGCCCTCAGTTCATTTGTATGAGCAACTCTATCTTCTTTCAAGACTTGAAGAGAATTTTTTTGTTGCTTTCTAGAGATTGTGGTGCTGTTGTATTTTCAATAATTAGATGAATGTATGCTGGCGTATTCTTAAACTCTATGATTGCCAACTGGTGGATGTGATCAGGAAATGGGCTTCTCTTTTCATTTCTCTTACTATTCAATGCACAGTGGTTTTAGCAGGTGTTGATTATTTATACTGTTTTGATACATAGCAGCTGGTATAGCGTTTTCCTCAGATGCTGAGATTTTTTTAAGAAAACTTAAAGAAGTAATAGTACAGATAACAGTACCCAGATGCAAGAGTAAGAAACTCCACACAAGTGGCCTCCAAAAGAAAAATAAAACTGAAATAAAATTTTTAAAAAATAGAAATTACAGAGTTTTTAGTGAATAAATTGTAACTTATCTTCATGAAAATTTCAGAGACTAGTAGGAAGATGATGGTAAATAGTTCTGATGCATCCTGAGCACCTCTCCCATCGTCACTGTACTGAAGCAGCAGCATTATTTTCACTTTGGGATCTTGGCCCCTGGCTCTGGAAAGATCAGAATTGTCTTTAATAATAAAATATGCTGTTTGACTAGGTGAATCAGACAAACTTCATCTCAAAATTTGGACTTTTGAACAGCAATTTGAATATTATGAAAGGTTTTTCTAATATGAAAAAATGTACAAGTCATTTGGTTATAAAAGTTTTTGGTTTCTACAGAGGTAAAGGATTGATGAATTCTTGGCCCACTTGTAACAAGTCAACATAGAAAGTGTATACATTTCCCAAAGCAGAGACAAGACTTGAGGCTCTCCCTATAAATGTGGATCTAAGCCAATAACATAAATTCATGACCACAGCATCTTAACTCTCCAGCTTGTTTTTAAGTGGTAGTAGATTTCCTCATCACATAAAACACAGAATGATCCCAGGACATACATTTAGAGTACTGGGACAATACCATGGTCTCTTCTGCAGGTCACAGCCCTCTTCTTGAGTTAGGGTTCTGCCTTATTATCTTTGTTAAGCATCATTCAGTCAGTTCCAACTCATAGCAACCCTGGATAGGGTTGGGAGGAATAGCTAGTGAGTTTCAATCACCAACCTTGTGGCTCAACCTGGCCTACTGTTGCAGTGCTTTATCCCACGGGACAACAATAGGACACAGGGACTTCCTTAACCCTTGACAAAACCAAATCAACCTTTACCATAGGACATCAACCAGCCATGTGATGTCCTCTTCCCTTTATGACTGAGTTGTGTCTGAGCCAACAAGTCATAAATTTATGAATATCAGCACCTCATCATGAAGTAGAAATTAGAAATACAAGCTGAACCTGGAATGTGTACTGGTGGTAGATACAATCCTGCCTGTATCAATCTGCCCATTAACCTGCCCTCAGTCACAGCTCAGTGCCTTGAGTTTGCCCATATCTTCCTCTTCCCAGACTTGATAATCTCACACGGTTGACAGCTGGGTCTCCACAATGCAAGGTTTTGTGCAGGGCTGTATCA